AGTGCACAGTGCGTGCGTGTATTGGTCTATGTGTGTGTGCGGTGTGTGCGTGCGCGCGCGTGTGTGGTGTATATTCATCTGTCAGTGCTCTCTCGTGGTCAGACCCATCGTCTAACTCATCTGATATTTCTCTCCTCCAGCAGCAAGCACAGCAGCAGCAAGCAGCAGGTGGCAGCAGCAGCAGCAGTAGGGAGCGCGGCGGAGTCGGTGCCGGCCGCATCGACCTCTGGACATCACGACGATTCTGACTCCGTCTGGTTCGTGCAGCAGACGCTCTAGTGCTGGCGCAGCACCGTACTGCCGTCCTGCTCAGACCTGATAGGTGCCCTCAAACAGTAACGACACTCTACTGCTCCACGTCACGTGCGCGCACGCACGCACGCACCCGCACCGCACACTTTGTCTGCGTTCGTGCAGCAAAGAGCGCCTAGCTTGGCTGGCCCGGCGGCAGAACCTGCCGTCCTGCTCAATACCTCACGAGCCGTGAGATAAGCGCACACCTCACGCACGCAAGCGACCTCCACGCCGCACTGGCTGCACGCACGGCACGCACACCCCCGTCTTGCGTTCGCTGCAGCAGACGCTAGGCTGGCTGGCGGCGGCAGAACCTGCCGTCTGCCTCAGACCTCGATAGCGTGAGTAAGCCACACCTCACACATGCCACAGCCTCCTCACCAGCGCGATGAGCCTGCTGCAGACCGCACAGGCCGCACACGCCACCACACACACGTACACACTCACGCACACACACACGGCACACAGATACACACACTGCACACACCCGACCAGCACTCACACACACCACACACACGCACACACCACCATAAACGCGCCACACACATCACGCACACACACAGCAGTCGGCACTCAGCGCATGCATCGCCACTATGCAGCACACACAGCACGCACATACAGCACACACCACACACACACGCACACACAAATAACACACACGGCACACACACACACACACACACGCACGCACGACGCACGCACGCACAGATGCACGCACGCACGCATGCCACCGGCACACACTACCACACAACACACACACACGACACACACGTACACGCACACACACGACATACATCGCACACACACACGCCACACCACTACACACATTGCCACGCACACACACGTACACCACACACATACGCACGCACGCATGGATAATGCAGACACTGTGCAGACGCTGCGTGTGTACATTGCAATTCATTATTTAGCATGATAAACAATGATAAGCTTGTGTGTATGTTGACATGTAATAGGCTAATACATATCTATAAAGGACACTATATGATCGTTTGCATTGTTTGACCATTCTGTACAAAACGGGTTAAGAGCTGTATCATCCTCAATTTATTGTCGGTCGTTGCAATTGCCGTTGCGATACTGTGCACAAGTAGTGTATGATTAGGGTTTAACTGTATATTGTCAAACTTGTCAACTCGTGAGCATCGTTTGAAGCGTGCATTACTGTGCAGCTAAGTGCTATATAGGTTTAATGCTTCATGTCAACTTTATCAACTCTAGTGCATCGTTGAAGCCCGTGGATACTGTGCACGCCATACTAGCCTCGTCATATAGGTTTAACTGTATCATATTGTCAACTTTGTCAATCTAGTGCATCGTTGAACGTGGATACTGTGCAGCTAGTGTATATAGGTTTACTGTATATTGTCAACTTTGTCACTCTAGTGCATCGTTGAAGCCGTGGATACTGTGCAGCTAGTGTATGTGTTGAACGTTGTAAAAGGTTTCTCCACGTCCTTCTCTGCAGGTCTATCACACGTCGGCATGACGTCGCCGCCGGCAACGGCAGCTACGGTGGTGCCACCGTCGAGCGTGACTCCGCTGACAAGAGAGCAGCTTCAGCAGGCGCTGCTACACTTACTCAAGGTCGGTGAAGGTCAATTCTCCTCGAATGTCGAGAATAATGTTGCTTAATGTTGTATCCGAGTGAGTAACTGTTTAGCAGTGGTGTAGGGACACTGATTTTCCGTTTCAAAAAATTGCCTTTTCCGTTTGTGAAAATTGTGAATTCCGTTTCAAAGTAGAGAAAGAATGGAAATTCCGTTTTGTCTTAGAGATTGTACACACCAAAAATGCAAAATTCCGTTTACATATATTTGCCCGAAAAAAAGGTATTTGGTACAACCTTTGAAAGAACCTGTAGGGTAATGTGTTCATAATAGAATTATCGTCATTGTAAGTCATTTCGCTTTGAAACTTGTCTGAATGTAAACCATATCATTACCAATGCTATTGTCGACGGTTTTTGTGTGATTTTATTGAAATTTCCATGTTGTAATATGTTCAAATTACGTTTTCCGCGTTTTTCCGTTTGAAAACATCTTTTCCGTTTCCAATGGCCGTTTCCGTGTTGTCCGTCCTTTTTCGGGATCGCGGAAAATCAGTGTCCCTAGTGGTGTTGATGGCTGGTCTGGTTGTCTTTGTCACGTCGAACGCAGTTGACAGCTAGGTTGGCGGCAGTTAGCGGGTGCAGTAGGTGTCATACGATAGGCTGTATCATAAAGTAAATTTACTCTTAATAGTATCGTGAAATCCAAAAATATCTATATCTATATTCTGTATTCTATATTCTATATCTATATTCTATATTCTACATCTATATTCTACATACTATTTCGAAATGTTATTCGACGTAGACTTAACGTACTCTCTTGTTTTTTTCTCCGCCCGCAGACCGATTCCAACTTTGTGACTTCGATCCACGCCGCCTACGTCGCCAGTCTAAACAGCAAGCTCGGTCCGTTCTCGTCGTGACCCACCAGCAGCGCCACCTGCTGGATCGTCGACGACGTCGCGTCGCCTTCGCTGTGTAGGAGAGGGCAGGCTCTCTCTCCACGTTCAAACGGGGGTTGCCGGGGCGATGTACCCGGTCACCATGGCGACCATCTTCCGCGTAATCTCGTAACGGCTTTGTTTTCGCTGGCCGTTTGTTTTAACCACTAGGCGGCGACACTGCTTCACCGCGGCACGTGATTTGATCGGCTTCCTCGCGTGCCGGCTGTATATTTGTCACTTGTTCATACTCCTAAGTGTGCAACTCTCTCTCAACGTGTGAAGCGTGATACTGTGAGCTAGTGATATACGGTCTTCCAACTGTATATTGTCAACGCATTGTCAACTCCTAGCTGCGCACCGTTGAACTGGCCGTGGATCACTGTCACTCGTGTAATAGCGTTTAAACGTATATCGTGTCACCTTTGTTCAAACGCTCTACGTGGCATCGTTGATGCGAGTGTAACTGCTCGGCAGCTAGTGTATATAGGTTAACTGTATACTTGTCAACTTTGTCCCAATCGTCTACTCTAAGTGCACCGTGAGCCCGTAGGATACTGTGCACCCGCTCGTGTATACTAGGTTTTAACTGTATAGTGTCAACTTTTGTCAACTCTAGTCATCGTTGAAGCGCGGTATACCTGTCGTAAGTGGTGTACTGTGTTGACCCGTGTACCGCTTTCCCACATCCTCTTGCTCGCCAGGTCTATCACATCCGTCGGCATGGACGTTCCCGCCGCCCGCCGCAACGGCACTATCGGTGGTGCGCTCATCCGTCCGAACGTGAACTCCGCTGACAAGCAACAGCAGGCTTCAGCCAGGCGCTGCTACACCTTACTCAGGTCGGCCGAAGGTCAAGGTTCTCTCCCTTTCTCGAATATAAAGAGAATACTGTTGCTTCTTAATGATTCGCCAATCCTCTCCGAGTGAGTAACTGTTAGCAGATATGTGTAGGGAGCAGTGATTTTCGCGTTTCAAAAATTGCCTTTCCGTTTGTGAAAATCGTCCCCGAATTCCGCTTTCAAAACGTCCCAGAGAAAAATAATGGTAAATTTCCGTTTTGTCTTCAGAGATTTGTACACACCAAAAAATCGCAAATTCTGCCGTTTACTCCATTCTATTTTCTGCCTCCGTAACAGTATACAAGGTATCTTTGCGTACATTCTACCTGTGAAAGAAACCTGTAGGGTAATTGTGTTCATCCCATAGAATTATACGTCAATTGTAAGGTCATTTCCGGCTTTGAATACATTGTCCTGTAATGTAAATCACCTATATTCATTATCCCTCTCGGTTTCTTATCATCTTCATTGCTATTCCTGGGCTCCCTGGACTCGTGCCTCTCTCTTTCTCCGCTGTGTGACTGTTTATTGAAATTTCCGTCACTCTCGCTCTCATCACCAACATTAACTGTCGTTTTCCTACGGCTCCTGTAGCTCTGAATTTTCTTCCGTCTCTGCATAAGAAAGCGATTTTTCCGTTTGCCATAGGTGGCTCCCGTTTCGCGGCTGTTTGGGTCGACCTGACACGCACTCGCGCGTCCTGGTGGCGGATGTTTTCGGTGGCCTTTCCCTGTCAGAGAGGAGTCATCGGTCCCGGAGACCAACACTCGTGTCGCGCTAGTGTGTTTCGAATTCCTGATGGCTGGTGCTGGTCTGTCTTGTCAGCGTCCCCGCAAAGAGGGACGAATGGACACATAAGAGTTTACAGCTAGGTTGGCGCGCAGTTAGCGGGTGCAGTAGGCTGTCATACGATAGGCTGTGAGAGGTATACAAGAAATTTACTCTTAATAGTACATGCTTTGGTGAACTTCCCAAAAATATCTAATATCTAATAGTTCGTGTATTCTCTACTTCTACATCTGAGTAGTCTGCTCAATATTCTTCATCCATACCTATGCACTACCCGCTCACTATTCGTCACGAACTGTATGCATGAGTTCCCGAAGCGGCCCCTAGGACCTCTCTACATCTGCCTAACTCTCCACCCTCACGTCGCTTTTGCAGTTTTCTCCACGCCAGCCCGCATGTTACCGGGAGCCTCATTTCGCAACTTTGTGACTCGGTCCCCTCGTATTCTCACATCGCCGCGCGGGGTCTTACGTCGCATGCAGTGCGCGTAATACGAGCAACTCGTGTGTCGCGTTCCCTTCTTTCTGGGTATTTTTGTCACGTGACGCTGGGTCCATCCGCAGCTGCGCTACCGGGTGCTGATCGGCGATCGACCACGGAACCCCGTGCCTTGGCGCTCGACACTTGTTTCATCGCTGTGTATGTATGGGACCGGAGAGACTCTCTTTCTAACGGGTGCTCCACTAACGCGGCGCTCTCCCTGCCTCAGATCACATCGGGCGTTGCCCGTACACTCCGGAAGTGATTTGCCCATCGCGGAGCCTCCGTGTTCCTGCCAGGGGCGATGGAGCCGGTCCCCCCGTCTATGACCGGATCCCATCGCGACTCCATGCATTTGCCTGTGGGCAATGTGTTGGCTTTTCCGGGGCGGTCATTTTTAATTTGCTGCTTGGTCTTGTGTTAGTAACACGGCCGCAGTGGTATATCCTGCTCCCTGTACTAACCTTTAGGTCCCTTGAGTCCGGTCTTCTAAGTCATAGCTCTCAGTCTATCGGACTCCACCACTTAGGCCTCCTTGGCGTATGATAAATTTTCGCTTGGTCCCGCTGGTCTCATACTCCGTGAAGTGCATCACCCAGTTTTTTTTTTGCTCCGTTAATGCTTGCCTCTTTTTAAATGCTCTGTTTCCCTCGTCCGCCTGCGTGTGCTGTACTTACTATGTCACGTCCCCGCGGCGCGTGGATTGTTCGGGTCTTCGCATATTGCCTCCATTCTCGATTGGTGCTTCGCTTGCTCACGTTTGACGTCCATTCGGGGCAATAATCCTCCTGATTGCGCTTGGGTTTGAGGGCAGAGGACGGTGAAAGGAGGCGAGGTAAAGTTGCAGGAGAGAAGGTGGAAGGTCACCGAAACGGATTCGTGGCATCGTCGCCAATCGAATCGGAGTGTTCCAAAACGTTTTTGTCCCGGTGATCTTGGCTCCTCTTGTTTAATGCCGACTTCGTCAGATAGGCCCGCGCCGCTTGCCGAAGTTATATTTCTAACCGACAGGGACCGAGAAATTGTGGGACAACTGGCATGGCGGCCTTTTAGAATTTCGAACCCGTAAGAACCCGGCGAAACCTTACAAAAAGCCTCGAAATTGCAAATCGCCAATTTGACCTCTTAACGGCATCTTGTGCTCTCTCTTGGCTAGAGACAGAGACAAAAGAGAGTAAGAGC